TCAGTGCTGGTTAGCTGCCTTTCTGCATGCATAAAATGGGATAAAGGACTGCCCCTCCTACTCTACCTAATTTTGCTCAGCTGACTCGGTGCCCTGGACAATGGCTGCAGTGCGATGCATTCGTCACTTAAAGCAACTCTGCTGGAGTACATCTATAAGTGGACAAAGAAGGGATGGAACATACAAGTCAGTGAGAAGAAGGCATCTTTCAAAGACATACGTAGACAGAGGACAGGATCTGTATAAACAAACATCTTCAAAACACAGGGATTCACTTGACACACAGAGCACATACACGCAGGGACTAATGCAAATTTGCAACACCTAATCTGTTCTAGCTGTGGAGTGTTACCCGTCTTGAGTCCCCCCTGGGAGAAAGGTGGGGTATAATAATAATAATAATAATAACAATAATAATAATAATAGAAGTGTCCGACGTGTGATCCAATTCAGCAGCCAGCAGAGTGTCTGCTGTGGACTCATCTTGTTGTGTTTCAAATACTACTACTACTACTACTACTACTAATAATAATAATAATAATAATAATAAGCAGCTGGTCGTGGCTTCACAAATATTGGATAAACTATTTATTCACTATTAAAGGTGTAATATACCATATTGAATCAGGTACAGCACCATTTATTGGCCATATACTCTGAACCTGCAGAATGGAGTTTTTCCAGCTGGTTTTTCCTCATTTGAAAGGGGAAACCAGTCTTCCTACATATGGAAGGTGTCATATGAGCAGATCAGCTGCTACCACTTCATGTTATTTAGTCTTTACAGTCACATTTAAACCTTTCCCCCACTTTTTCCATTGAGGAGATGAGGATGAACAGAAGGATCAACATCAGTTTAGCACTTTATCATTTCTGCTATTAGGTTAAAGCTGCATCAAAAGTGATATTAATTTTTATTAGGAAGTTTCCCCTATGGGTCAATTTTTTCCATAGTGAAGGAACAATGAAGAGTAGTTGACAAGTCAGCATAAGGGGTTCCGAAGCAATAATGTAAAGTCAGATTAGAGATTTGGCATCACTTCCAGGTAGAATTAGAAATGAATATTTCAAAGACACACAAGTGGGATAAGAATAGGAAATTATGCTGTAAGGAACATATTCACCCTTGGAAACATACTTGAAGGCAATATCCCTCTCTTGCATCTGTGCAGCTGCATTAAGGGAAACTAGTACTGTTGCTTAAGGAGACCTAGGATTCCATTAATACAAGCACAGATGTAAGTAAGTGCAGTGACTTGTCTTTGGAGAAGACCAACTTCTGATGACACAACATTTATGGCCAATGGAATTGCTATTACTTCTACATTCCCTCAGATATTATAATCAGTTGGTCACAATGAGTTCATATTCAATGGTTTGAAATTAGAAAAATGAATCAGAAAACATGCTATTCTTCTCCTGATGCAAAACTCCTTTTTTAATTAGATCACGCTGGTAGTTGTGAGTGCATGCAGATGTCACCTATTTTAATAGATAACTGTTTTAATTTGTTTCTCTGGACTTTATTACATAGAATCATAGAATCAAAGAGTTGGAAGAGACCTCATGGGCCATCCAGTCCAACCCGCTGCCAAGAAGCAGGAATATTGCATTCAAATCACCCCTGACAGATGGCCATCCAGCCAACATGCCATACTACAAGAAATACCGTATACTTAGGACCATTCTCTTTTTTTATTTTCAAGTAAATATGCATTTAACTATTGTGATCTAAATGTTGGACTATGACTATGGAAGCCAGGGTCTGATTCTCTGCCCAGCCAAAGGAGCCCAATGGTATATGACTTGAGGGCACACAAAATGAAGACAGAAAGCAACAACAAATATGCATTGCCCTAATGTTGATCCAGATAATCACACAGGAGGGGGAGAGGTTTAAATCTTCATCGAAGTTGTCCCACAAACTTCTTCTCTGCCATGTGCAGAGTGAGGACAAAGAGAAAAAGCTTCGGTTGGAGCCAATTGGGGCCTTTCTCTTGTTTATGTTGCACTTGGGGAGCAATCAATAATTCTAGGTGAAGCTTCCCAGAGGAGAGATTGTGAGAGTCTCAGTCTAGATCCTAGCACCACATTATTACTAGACAATAAAAAAGTGATCCAAAGCAGAGAATCACATTTAATGCAGTTTATTCATAATACAACATTAAACTGACACATCATTTTAAAATGGACATGACAGAGATCCATCCATGACTTGTTACACTAGTTTCTACTTTGTCTTTCTTATAAGTCAAATCGCAGCTTTATAAATACTGGATTTCATCCATGAATGTTGAACAACTATTTTTTTAAACTGGCGGAACAGGCTTGTTCAACAGGAATATTAGTTAATACAATTTTGTAATCTTTTAGGGTTAATCATTTGTCGAAACGATAAACCCTGGGCTGCGCCATTTCAGACTAGAAAGGGATTCCAACACTTCATATATGATGGATCTGTTTGCACTGTCTGGCACTAGACAAGAATGTTAAAGAAGATAAATTTGTCCTGTTCTTTTCCATAACCAACTGGTTTTCTAAGTGTAGGAGCCAATCCTCTGCCAAGAATGTAGGCATTTTTTTTTCGGTTTCCCACATCAGTATAAAGTGTCTTTAGCAGTGTTCTGATTAAAGCCAGCTTATTTCTGGTAAACTTCATTTCAATGTTTGGAGAAGACATATTGCTTCCACATTTTAAAAAAGTAAGGTTCTAATACAAATAAATGAGAGGAGTCACTTCCATGATGCACAGGGCATACAATGCAGGTGGACAGGCTATATTTGTTGGAAGGATCAGAAGGGCTATTCTTAAGCAACTAACTCATTATAACCTTAGGAAGTTATATCAACTGCATTAAGCTAAGAATTTCTAAGTTTTCTTTTAGTCTGCCACATGCTGCTGCAGGCTCACAATGATCTTGCAAGTTAATTGCAAGTCATCTCTAAAAGTTAGCTGCTGTGTTGACACTTTATTAGGAAGTATTTGGAAAAGGTCTTTTTTACTGAGTTTCAAAACTGCCACATGGTCAAGCCAATGGGAGTTGCATCACAGAACTGATGCGAAAAATAAAATGTTTACACACTGAATATAAAAAAACCCCTCCAAAGTTGGAAAGACACACTTATAATCTTATAATTAGCAGCACTGGCATTCAGGACAAACTAGAAACAAACAACTGGCACATATACACTAGAATAGATTTCTTTCACTTTAGGAGCCCACCATTTATATGACTTTATATGCCACAAAACTCTCTGGTCTTCAGAAAATACATGTTTATTTGTTTGTTAAAAAATGCAATACAACTGTTTGGTTTGCTCCTGACACGATAAATAAATATTAAGGAAGGCAGTTTTAACTCCAGCTTTCCAACAACTCCTTTGAGAGTTTGTGGCATCCTGAAGATAAGGATTGTTATGACAATCTAATGTTTATACTAAAATACAAGGGAATATGAACTGCTACCACAGTGTTAAAATCAACCATGTTCATATGTGTCTTTGTAACTCTTATTCTGACATGAACCACCATGTTTCTGTACTGTTTCTCCATGTCTGCCAGAAACAACATCTAAGAAGCATTAGCAGGGCATAAGTATGCCTAAAAGATAACATTAGAGTTGGAGAGTTTCTAGCTAAAGAAGCAGCCAAAATTGATTCAACAGATGCTGAGTTCAATCTGTTCAAAATGAGTAAGCAGAAACAAGAATTCCATTTGGATGTTGGTAGGGTTATTGTATATAACTCACTCCAAAAAACTAGCCACCATTAGAGGAGGACAGAGAGGTAGCTTATATCAAACCAGTCTTGCTTGGCCAAGAAAGAGAAAATAATGGGGTCAAAAGTTTAAAATGGCTGTTGTCTGCTAAGTGAGGAATAATGCTGGCATACATGTACAAGCATTTTATATGTTTTTATAAAGCGGGAACATATGACTAATTGACCAAAGTTGTTCCCTGTTCTCGAATTAAACTACATAAGGAAAGCTTGGAGTGAACATATATGATCAAAATGGGGAGGGTCTAGCCCTGTAGTTGTCACGGAAATCCAACTCTTACTATCCCTTACAATTAATCATGCTTTCAGAGGCTGATGGGAGTTGCAGTCCAATGTCCAGAGGGCTACTCTTGATACGTATGACACTTATGTCCAGGAGCTTTTCAACTACAGAGACAGTTGGCTTCTCCTTATGACCGAAAAGCCAGAATAACTGTACAAAGCAATAGCCATCTGCACCACCATAACAAATAAAAAATTCTTACAAAAAGGACTGGAGTAATAATGCAAGAGACTGATACAGAATTCTTTTTAAATAGTCCAAAAATGGCCTAGCAGTTGATAATGTACCCAAATGATAAATGAGAGGTGTGGGTCCAAATAGCACATGCTAGACAATCTCTTCTTTTTGCTGTTCTTTTCCGATTAGAGCCCAGACTGACTGGGAACGAAGTGATTCTTAACTGTCCCAAGTTCCTGTCCCAGGGTCAACCAAGAGATTCCAAGTGTAACCCTTCTCTCTAGGCAAGTATTCTAAGGATATTATGACATAAGATCTAGATTATGCCATAGATGAGAGCAGTTGGGAGCCCTGGGAAAACACAGCTAGCATAGTTCCCAGCATTATCTAATTTGCTAGTGATCTCCCAGATTACAATGGTGAGGAATATGAAGATGCGGTCAACACTATTACTAAATGACTGGGAGTCAATATTGGTAAGTCCACCTACTTAACTAGAGAGCTAGTAATGGTATGTATGTCAGCTAAAAATTGTTTTGAAATATTTATACTTGGCATCTGCTCTCAATTAGATTTTGATATAGTCAAGAAATTGACAATAATTGGCAGTTTTTAAACTGTAACGCAGAAGAGATTTTTATTTCACATAGTATAGTATCGCCATAATTTTACTAAGAGTTCTATATTCAAACAAACACAGAGAAAGACTAACACATTTAACCTATTCTCAATATTAGTAAAACCACATGTAAGAATAGGTTACCTGGGCTTTTTCTGTACTTGTGGGTTGTAGGTGTCTGTACAGTACTTTCTTCGCAACATCAGGAAACAAACAAGTAATGACTATGATGATTATGGCAAACCAGGCAGAGCCACTGGACAGTAACTGAACAAATACAAAGTACATGTCTTGAGTGTGCAAAAATGGCCTGAAAAAAAGAAAGAAAATGGATGTCAATACAGAGGACAGGGGAAAACTAGAACACAGCTTACCTTGCTTCATTAGAATGTTATTTAAAGTACTTTTAACCAACCTATCATTACCAGGGCAGGTTGGTCTGTAAGACATAGAGTCCATGACAAAACAATTAGATCTTTAAAAAAAACATTTTCATAAAATGTCACTATTCTTTTAAAGTAGGAAGAATGTGGCTCTGAATATGTTGTTGAGACTGTACATTCTGCAATCCCAAATAGCTGAGTAAGGAATACCAGGAGGTGAAGACCCAACAAGTATCTTCAAGGCCATGTGTTTGCTTTTGCTTATGTTATTCATAAGATAGCTCAGGGAACCACAGCAATTCAGTCATGTTTCCCTGTTGTGCCTACATGCAAACATACATCCCTGACCTTGTAGTCTGTTTGCCAGGTTCCTAATAATAATAATAATAATAATAATAATAATCATCATCATCATCATCATTTATTTAGAGATTGCCCAGTCTCCCCAGGGAGACTCAGGGTGGCTTCCAGGCAAAAAGGCAAACATTCAATGCCTTAGTAACAAACAAACACATACATCAAAAACAGTGCTAAGGAACATCATTATAAACTCATAAATTACTAAACAAGAAAATAAAATTAATTATTAAATAGCATAATTATCTAAACATACACAAAAGCTCCATAAAAACAAACATTAACAGGATGCATAATATAAGTAAAATTATTTGAGATGAATATATAGCAGCCTGCAGGGTCAAAATGAGATTGGTAACATCCCAGAAGGTTGTCTTTACAATGTCCTAATCCTTCTCCTCTCCATAGGCTAAAGTGCAGAAATGCATTTTCAGCAGCTTTGTAAAGGAGAGGAGAGAGGGGGCCATTTTTATTTCTTTGGGGAGTGAGTTCCAGAAGTGTGTGTGTGGGGGGGGGCATCCTGGAGAAGGCCCCCTTCTCCCATTCCCACCAGTTGCGCTTAAGATGGGGATAGGACTGAGAGAAGGGCCTCCTCTGCTGACCGCAGTGCACAAGGTGGTTTATACAGGGAGCTGAGGTTTGTCAAATAGCCTGGACCCAAACCGTTTAGAGCTTTATAGGTGACAACCAGCACTTTGTATTAAGCCCAGAAGCAGACCGGCAGCCAGTGGAGCTGCTGCAACAGGAGCCACAGTTAGTAACCTGATTAAAACCTGGAAGTGAACAATTCCATTAGCAAACAGAAAAGTAGCAATGGCAGTAGGGTCAACTAACAGTAAGGATTGCAATGACTTAAGAGAGCTATAATCCATATTTATGTGCATGCAGGAACACCTACCAGATAATTCCGCCATAGAACAAGGAGAATACGAAGTAAAATGCAATGGAACCCCAGGTGACAAAATGGTTTATCCATGTCCAGAAATGAGTTTCTAAAGCCATCTAAAAACACAATATGAGAAACTTGGAATAAATTTATCATACAGGTAGGAAATATGAATAGCACAAACTGTCTTTCTTGTCCTTTCTTTTTATAGAATGCTATGAAAACATATCACAATTGGACAAGGAGGCAGAAAATCTATGTATCTTAGCTAACATGTCATTAAAAATGGTGATCACTACCATTTTGCAGTTTGCTACACAGCCCACATGGGTTGTATAGCTTTATTTTAAATTTACCTTTTATTACTATTGTATTTTAATCTTTGTATGCATGCATTTTACAGTACTGTGTTTTAACATATGAATGTTATTATACGTATTTTTATGGTGACATGTTTAAGTGTGTTGTGTCCAACCTCGAGCAGTGAGGAGAAAAAGGTAACAAATGAAAGTAGTAGTGGTACTTGTTATTCTTATTCTTGGGTTTTTCAATCCACCTAACAAAAATCTCAACAATGCCTAAAAATCTAAGATGTAAGTAATTCTGCACAGAATTTGAACTGGACCAACTACTGAAAGAGTAATCTAACAGATAGGCAGGGACAGACACATGGAGGGGATGCAGGGAGGTATGGGCTTATACAATGTGTACACGATGAATAGCCTATTCAAACTGTGAAGTTTCTCCAAACTGTGTTGTTTTGGACTAGCTCAAAGACAGGGCTCAGTGACAGGCCTCACAACCTCTGAGGATGCCTGCCATAGATGCAGGTGAAACGTCAGGAGAGAAGGCTTCTAGAACATGGCCATACAGCCTGAAAAACCTACAACAACCCCTTGATTCCGGCCATGAAAGTTTTCAAAAATACATAGAGCTTGGAAACACCTTTGAATAGAAGAATGAATATGGTGTACTGAAATCACAAAACTGGGACATATCATTGTGTTTGGTCATGAATTTCTTGAGAATATTAATCTTCAGTATCTTTAGTGTAATTTTCTAGACTTGACTCAGAAATCATGTGGTTTTTAAAAGCCTGGAGTTGAGGGGGTTCATAAGGCTGCATTCCTCCAGCCAACGCTTGGGGCTATACAGCTTCCCCTCAAAGGAGACTAGCAATGCTTCAGACAGAGCTCGGCATGTTTAGCCTCCAGAAAAGAAGGATGAAAGGAGACACGATGGCCATGTATAAATATGTGAGGGGAAGTCATACGGAGGAGGGAGCAGGCTTGTTTTCTGCTGCCCTGGAAACTAGGATGTAGAATAATGGCTTCAAGCTACAGGAAATGCGATTCCACCTGAACATGAGGAAGAACTTCCTGACTGTGAGAGCTGTTCAGCAGTGGAAATCTCTGCCCCGGAGTGTTGTTGAGGCTGTTAAACAGAGGCTAAATGGCCATCTGTTGGGGGCCATCCTGTGATTTTCTTGTTTCTTGACAGGGGGTTGGACTGGAAAGGCACTGGAGGTGGAGGGGACAGGATTGGGAAGGTGAGGGCCCGCTCACCTCTTTGGGGACCAGCTGCTTGTCCTCGATGGGCACCATGGCAGGCAGGCAGGCCGGGAGGCGGAGGCAGAGGAAGGGAGAGTTCACGGGAGGCTTTATCGGCAGCACTATTGCAGGCACCCTCCTTCCCTTCCTGAGGGCCGGGCCTGGCCTTGCCTTGCCTGACGACTCCCATGAGCTCTCCCTCCCTCTGCCTCTGCCTCCCTGCCTGCGCCACGGGCCACGGTGCCCAGTGAGGAGAACAAGCTGGTCCCCAAAGAGGTGAGCAGGCCCGAGGCTGGAGGCCCAAAGGTGTTGGAGTTTGAGGGAACAGGGTTGGGAGGGCGACAGCCTGCTCACCTCTTTGGGGACCAGCTGGTTCTCTTCGCTGGGCACCATAGCAGGCAGGCAGGCCAGGAAGTGGAGGGAGAGCTCACGGGAGTCGTCGTCAGCAGAACTATTGCAGGCGTGCTCTTTCCCTTCCTGAGGGCAGGGCCTGGCCTTTCCTCAGCGGCCTTTCCTTAAAGCCCGTCAAAGGTGATGAAGATTTAGGAAGGCAGAAGAGGAGGGGGAAGAGGAGGAGGAGGAGTGGAGAGGGAGCCAGGTATCCCTACATCGCAGATTTTCACTTATTGCGGGAGTCCCTGAAACGGAACACCCACGACAAGTGAGGGAACACTGTATTCCTAAATAGCTACTGGACTGTGAAACACTTGGGAACAATTATATATAGTAAAACCACAAATTAATTACAATGACTATACCTTCATTGTAACAGTTATCACCATAACTGTGAAGACCAGAGTGCCAAATGTCCAGTTTCCAAACATCTAAAAGAAAAGAAGGGGGCAGGGAGATGTAATTTAATCAAGGTGAAGATGCATTAATGAAGGAAGCTCCTTCATGTTTACTTGCCTACTTAGTTAAGTTTAGTAAAGCAACTAGGAAAATGCAAAGCAAAATAGGGAAAATGGACAGGCTACTAAATTTCTCCACAGGACATGTTTTCCTCTTCCACAAAATACCACAAGTTTATGGGAACAGGATTTTTAAAAAATCTCAAGGAAAACAACACTACAGGGAAATCGCAGCCAATTATGCATAAATATCCAGCTAATGAGAAATTCTATTGCGTGTGAAAGCAATTAGCCTCTAATTAACCGAGTGGGTGGGATTGCCTTCAATGCAGCATCACATATACATTTTCCAAATCATGTTCTCAAGTATCCAAAAATAATGGTGGACTTAGGAAATTAAGAACAATCACTTTATTTCATGAAATTGTGTTTTCTTGAAAGGCAACACTGCACAAAGTGGTTTTTGATTTTAAGAACAGTTGTGCAGTTTAAGTCAGCATTCTATGCTCTGGACAGTTTACAGGAAGTTTAATTTCAATAATTTCATCCTACACAAGAGGAATTCTTCAGATGGGGATGTCTTGGTCAGGATTACTTAAAGACCTACCTGCCTGAATGCATGTTGACAGTGGGCACACCCACACTGTGGAATCATAACAGTTTAATGGCTCTGGCTACTAGTCATGGGCCCAAAATTTGTTCCATTCATTTGATTCGTGTTTCTGTTTCATTCCATCCATTCAGATGGCATGAAATGGAAAGGCCCCTCCTGGAACGAAAATGCAATCAAAACGAAAGACAGGCGGGAGCGGGTACTGGCTCCAAGCCTGCTTTATGAACTGATTGCCTGGGGCCTGGCAGGGTCTGCAGCCGAGCACCGAGTAAGGAGCGCTCCTTACTCGGTGCTTGGCTGCAGGCCCTGCCAGGCCCGCGTGCATAGTTCCAAACCCTACACCTGTAGGCCCAAAGCACTCAGGCCTATGGGTGCAGGCTTTGTGCCTATGCACCCAGGCCTCACAGGGCCTGCAGCGAGTTCTGAGTACGGAGCACTCCTTACTTGGTCCTTGGCTGCAGGCCCTGCCATGCCCGGGAACGTAGGCCCAAAGCGTCAGGGTGCCTGCAGCCCAACGCTGAGTAAAGAGCTCTCCTTACTCGCACTTGGCTGTAGGCCCTGCGAAGCCCGGGTGTGTAGGTTCAAAGCTGCATGTTCTACAGATGAAGCTCCCCCCCCCCCCAAAAAAAAAAAGGGTTGAAAGAAAACAAATATCTGACCTCCCAATTTCGGGAGACTCAGACAAAAATGGATCAGGGCGCCCTCCAAAAGCCAGAACACGAAATGGATCAAGTCCTGAATGCACATGACTAATGGCTACGTCCTTTGCAATCCCATAATTTCTAATTTGGTGAGGTATTTATAATTCTCCACTAGAGAGCTCTATTATCCACTCAAAATGCAAACACTAGGATTCCATGTGATAACTCATGGCAGTTAAAGTGACAAATTCCTGCAAAACTCTAGAGAAAGAGTTTGGTTGGAGCCAACTTGTAAAGGGCTCCTCATGGTACACTCTGCATGTCTTTGCCAGTAAGATGTATACACTGTCAGTCTGTTAATAATGACAGCCCTTAAGAATGCAAAGTGCACTTTTTAAAAGAGGAAGAATTATAATGCTGGGCTACGTTTGCAGTGAAATGTCATAAAACACATACAGGTCTTTCCATTCACAGTTCTCTCTGTTCCTTGCCACCATTTACTTTTGAATGTGTTCAAGGAGAAGGGATGCTGCATTCTTTCAACACAGATACAAAATACTGTATCTCGTGCTTTCCGTATCTTTCTTCCTAAAACACAGACGCTTACCATTTGCCTGTTAGGTTTCAATATCTGACGACATGCACAGCGTGAAAGAAGGTAAGGAAAGAAAAACTAAAAGATCAAAGAAGTACAGTATCATAGGATATGGGTAACAAGTCTACAGAGAGACATTTCCATATTAATAGCTTCCATTTCTTCCTAGCATGCTCTCCAAAGTGTAAAAAACGAGGATAAACCTACTGTACAGTTTTCTTCCCAGGCTCAGATGGAGTAAAATGTTCCCATTAAAAAAAGGAATTCTGCAGATGATGCAATAATGAGCCCAATCCATAGTTTTGGCACACCAGCACTTTGTGGGATACATAAAACCAGGGTGATTTCAGGGTACAGCTGCAATGTCACAGACTGTAAGAGTAACAACTGTGGGAAATGTTGGACTGTGTTATCACTCAGCAGCCTGAGTAAATGTTTGCACCTAAACTGATGAAGAAGGGCAGGAAAGGATCATATTTGGAGTCCAGAGTCTCAAAGAACAATGGGTCCAATTTCCCTAGGATAAGTGAAGAGGTCTCAGTCGACTGAGAACATCAGACAACCAACAAGACAACAGGTCCCCTATTACCAAAGTAGAACAATACCAAGCATATATTTCACAGCTTGTACAAGATACAATATGCAAAAAATCTACAATAAACACAAGTGTGTTGTGTTCACAATATGAATTATAGTCATTTAAAGAAGTAATGATATCAAATATGAAGAGCTTCTGTTTCCTTATCGAGATCTTCTACAGAATACAACAAATAATGAGACATAGGTTCCTTGCATTCACAGTACCAGATGGTAAATCTTCCTTGTAGGAGAGAGTTTGCAATCACAGGTTCTTTGAAACAGATTCCTCCTTCAAGGTAATAGTTTCATTTACTCTCTTAAAAGAGAGAATTTTTAAGGACAAGTTCCTGGGCATAGATATTCCTCACAACCGGCTTTGACTTATACAAAGTCTTCTTCAGGTGGAGAAATATGGTTTTACAAAATAAAGTGTATTGTTGTCTGTACACTAATACCAGCAAATCTAAAAAAGCAGGTAGTTAAAGGTGTATAGTTATTCTTTGTGGCATTTCTAAAACTTCTATTTTTGTTTTATACGGTTTTTTTAACCTGACAGGAGGTCATACAGGATACTTATACAATGTTAGTGTACTCTCCTCAAGTTCAGAGAACCTCTTAAAATTGTGTATTACTGGATGTAAAGTAAGATTACACTGAAAAGGTAGTGTGCTACTTTCAATGTGCTGAGAACATCTGGGAAAGGAAAAGAAAGGAGAATCCCTGCAGCACATTTATGACCCTACCTGCTACTAAATTAGTTCAGTAGCAGGACTCATTTGTGCTTATTCAGCAAATCCCTTACAATTTTCCACATTTGTATAATTTAGCCTTCTGAAACTTCACTTCTACTCTAGCTAAAAATGCAATTTATACACGTCCCATAATGATTATTCAAGTGCATACAGCATGACTCTACCAAAAACATCAAAACACCAAACATATAAATCCACTTTTGTTTTAATTTTATATTCTACTTTACCTGGCCATTTCCTAGCAAAGAGGTGTCTTCTCCCATCAGAAGATATGACCCAAAGAAGAAAATAAATGCATGCACAAATCCCAAGAAGGTCCAATAAAGGAAAGGTTTAAAACCCAGATGAGCATTTTTGCTGATGTCCCTGCAGAGCAAAGGAGGAGAAATGGTACAGACTGTTGACTGCTTTTTTTTTTTGTTAATAGCAACATCAATTATAATTCCTTAGGATTTGACATGCTATCTTAACTGCATTTTAGAGCATCTTTCAGCAACAACCCACCTTTGCTGATGAACTAAAATACTGTTGTAAAGTTCATTGTGACAAACCACAACATCCCCTATCACCATGTTTCAACTGAATAACATCTCAAGATAAATCAGTGCTAAATGCTAGGGGAGACTGGGAATACGGTAGATACCCTGCTTAGATTTTATTTCTCTGCCTCTCACAATACTTCTCATTCAGTGAACCAATATGACTAAATTATTGCTGAATTTAGGAAAGGTAGCATTTAAACAGTTGAAAAAACTTTTGTTAGATCAAGATTTAACAATAACAATTCTTTACTGATTAGTCAATTTTGACCATATCAAAACATGCAAAACATACACACTTGCCCATACATACAGTAAAACCATATATGAATGCAAGGCATCCCAGCCTGCTGGCCTGTCAACCCACTCCTAAATGATTGTGCAACTACAAGATAAAAAAATTAAAAGATTAAAGATCAAGATTTCATATCTTCTGACCACATGTTTACTTTTGTATCTTTTCTGCATTATGTATGCTTCCCTTGGCCATTCAAATTGATTCTGTGACAATCTCTTATAAACTGTCCAGCAAAGAAAACTGATTAATTCACGTCTATGCAAATTATAACACCTTAGTTTTCAATCTGCAATAGGATGTTTCACTTGTGCTATAGCTTTTCTTATGAGAACGATCTCTACAAATAAGTCTGACTCACTGATGAAAAAGAAGACAGATTTTTCTGCATTGACACTTATGTTCTTAAATATTATTGAAAACTGACTATTTCAACACATGGTTGGCATATACTAAGGGTAAAAAACTCTTTTCTCTCTTTTTCAAATGCTATATTACCCTATATTATCAAAGGGCCCATACTGGGGTAATAGACAGGAGGCAATGGTGATGCATGAGATGAGTCTCAGGTGGGTGGGATATTTGTCCTCCTCCTTCTATCCATGTAAGGAAGATGTTGGGAAGAAAAATAGATGCCCTGGACAAAAGTCTAAACCCATGGTTCTCAACCTATGGTTCCCTGGATGTTTTGGCCTACAACTCCAAAAAAATCCTAGCCAGTTTATCAGCTGTTAGGATTTGTGAGTTGAAGGTCAAACATCTGGGGACCCACAGGATAAGAACCACTGGTCTAAACTGATCATGTATACAGGGCTTTTGAAATAAATTCACAGATTTCAAGTTGCCAACAACAATCCTGCACATTTGCAATGGCTTTCCAAATTTCAGGTAACATCTTTCTCAAAGCTTGACCACTATAGACTACTTAACACACAATGGGCAACTATGTGTGAGCCAGGAACAGATTTCCCCTTCACAGGAAACTAAAATGCACCTCTTCTTGTTGCCATAATGAGAGGCATTGAAAAAATAAACTGAAGTATTTGTGAGTAGTTTGGGGTTCTGTGGTGCTTGAGGAGGTGGGAGAGGGTTTTTTTTGCATAGTTTTGAGGTGAAGATTGCTCTAAGATCATGCCGACAGTCTCTAAAATAAAGTTAAGGAGCGACCCCAAAGAGCATGCTTACCGATAGAGCGTTGGCTTGCTGTGTAACACATGAGGGTGAACATGCTGTTCAAAAAGACTGTACATAAGGACTGGCAGGGAAGTGAAACATATGTTGTACAAAGTCAGGTATACACTGTCATACAGAGTCTGAAAAATGAGGTAAATGGAAATTACTGCTTTATACAAAATGCTGAAATTCAAACTCGTTTCTGGTCAAAGTAGCCAACTTAAAAGCTGAAGTTTTGTCAGGGCTAAAATACGTTCATAAAAGTAAAAGGCACTACAGGAAAAAACCAAGACTCCCATTTCAGTTTATGACATTTCAAATAATAAAAAGGACCACATTTCAAATGAGTTATTTTCTTCCCCATTACTCAGCTTTCACAACTATAAACAGAAATTGGAAATACTAGGGCATGGACAATGACAGTATATTAATGCTAAGTCTTTGAAGATCTTTATTTAGTTTCTCCTTAAACTCTTAATTTTCTGATTTCCTGACTACAGGTAATGAAAACAATTAAATATGTCTATCACCCACTTTATAGTTATGTCAATCTGAGGTCATTATTTGTATTTTCTGAATACTCAACTGGTAATCCTGTTTCTGAACTCGCTTCCTTAACTTTCCTCAGCAGTTTTTCCAAGAGTTTGCTGTTAGTAATATGGTATCATATTCATATATTTAATTGTTGATGGTCCTTCTCCCATTTTTGTACCTCCTTCCTCCAAAATCTAATCCATCTTTCCATATTTTAAGTTCTATATATTAATCAAATAGGGTGATAATATGCATCTTTATGTTACCCTCTGCCATCTGGAAATCTGTTTCTCCTTATTCTGCCATGACACAGGTCTCTTGTTCGGAGTATAAGCTGTGGAACACTCATTTCCTTTAGGCCAACCCATAATGTTAAAATAGCTTAAAGACATTTGAAAATATATCAAGAAAACTTCGACTGGATGGCCCACAAGGTCTCTTCCAACTCAATAATTCTATGATTCTATGAAAAGGAAAATGTACAACCTTTCTATCAAAAAGTTCTTCCACAGCAAACAACTGGAAGCCAAAAACCTGTCTGAATAATAGGATAATTTGCTATGGTGGATAAAGAAAGAACTGTGACCTTCCTCAATCTCTTGTGGAAGAGAGTTCCACAGCTTTCGCAATCACCAAGAAGGCGCTCTGTTATATCATCAAAAGTGTCTTTAATGAGCTAGAGAGAAAGTATTACACATAATTGCTCAAAACTTAGGAAACATGAAAAAATCTTTCCAATACTCTGAACAAAGGTCAAAAAGAATAAGTCATTAAATAAAATAGGAGGAGAAAGATGAATGAGATGTTACAACAAGAGCTATTCAAGGCTAACAACAAGAGCTATTCAAGTTCAGTTAATATGGAACAAAATATTATGTATGGATGATTTTTGGATTTTATTACCTATCTGTCTATGTCTACAAAGTAGAGGTAGGGGCTGAAGTAGAATTCTAAGTCAATACTTACTTGTTGTGAAAACAAGCAGAAGAACTGATATAAAAACTGTGGTGTAATAAAGCACACATTCTGGAAAACAAGAAGCAATGTTACCAATTAGAGATATAAAGCACCAAGTCATGAAAAGCAAACAAATCTTGAGTAAAAGCAAAACAAACAAACAAACACACAAAAGAACAAAAACAAAACAAAACCCTTTTAAAAACTGTCGTGTTGAACCAGAACTGGGAACATAAAGCGGGAACAATTCTAATCCAACAAAGATACTTAATCCCAAATGCCAATCATAATTTCAATAATATTTGGAAATCACAGGTTTTAATGCTTACATTTTAGGATTTGTATTGTTATGATAATTTGTCAAATGAAAGTTTTCCATGTTTCCCCTTACCTGCAACCTCTGAAAAACTCCTTTATAGAGTATGCCTTCCCAAACTATGTATAATGGAGGAATAACATGTGGAGTCCCTTAGTTTATTTATCTTAGGATTCATGTTTTTTTTTAGTTTCTTTTAAAATATCTGCTTCTATACTCTGGAAGTATTTTTTATTTTATTTTTGCAAAGTGGGATTCAAATGTCATAAATGAATGCAATTATTGTGTCAGCCAGCATGAAGTGCAAGACAATGCTTTGAAAGGAGAAAAACACACAAAAGTATCACACAGTAGACAATTACATATGTGGTATTGACAAAATGTGCCGCAATGTACAAGCAAAGGGATATTCAGATGTTTTTTACATCTCTAATTCTCCTTATTGCAGTTAATTCTACAAGTGTAGTGATAAAATAAAAAATTCTAACTCAAGGATTTTCTTACTGTGTCGTGATAAAATATGATATATGGTATGAATGGAATTGTACGAAAGGAATGAATGAATGAGACCTAATAATTTTGGAGACACCATTGTGAAGCCAAGGCTTGCAATGACTAAATCGTTTACTACCTGCTTGCTGGACTGTAATTAAAAGTTGCTAATGAAAACTGAAATGGTTGACTTGCTATAGTAAACTGCTAACATTGATAAGAACTGTGACAATGATTAACTGTTGCACTTTTGGGTAAAAACAATGTTTTTACATTAATCAGAGACAATGGCTCTTTTAAGTTAAGGATGTTAAGAAGGAAGTCAACACCAGACCAATACCAATTATGAAGAGTCAACATCTGCCAGGAAACTGAGATGGAGCCAGGATGTTTCAGGATGGGAAACATCTTATCATTAATTTACAACTTTGAGATGACATCAGCAGAATATTCCTATAAAAGATTCATTCTAATAATTCTCAAATTGTGACAGACAGCGGTGCTGTTCATCTGCATCTCTGCTTCAAGGGAAGGACAGAGATGGTATATTCAGAGTGTCAGATCTGCTATGGGAAAGCAGGATTCTGTATATTCTGGGCTCCTTTTCTCAAGGGAAGAGGAAGGAATATGATTTTGGAGTCTTGGATTTTGTGCAGGGAGTCAGGTTCCGCTATATGGAAAACACAGATCTGGTTTTTGACATTGTGCTTAGGGAAAGGATGCCTTTGACATTTAGAAGTTTTGGAACCGTGCATTGTTGCAGAGGAAGCACTCTGGCCTAAGAGGTGTTCCTCAGCAGATGACAGCAGGAGGAAGAATGTGATGTATCCATGCTGATGGATGAATGAATATGTGTGGCGTGGATGTTGTGCAAAAATGTAATCCCCTTTGTTTGTTTGTTAGCCAATGTAACAGTAAGTTGTTTGTGAATTCAATTAATTACATAGAATCTGTATGTCTGCATGTCCAGTGTAGTTCTTTGTCTAAATGTTGTTCTGTAAAAGTTCTGATACTCTTTCTCTTACTGGAAAATTGCAATAAAAAGAACCTATACTTTAAAATTATTGAAAAGTTATTCATAACAACTGCAACCAGAAGAAACTTACCTTGTAAAAAAAGTACTGTACAAGGGTTGCTATTCTAACATAGTAAAGGTGGCCATGGACAAAAAGTAACTTGGAAAGATATTTAAATCTTGCTATTGCATAGTCGCTGTTTCTTACAGCTTGTCTTCCTTCTTTGCCCATGATACCTGATGTTTATGGGAGACAAAAGAAAATGAAGATGAATCTCAAAATAGAAGTAAAAGAACCCGAATATTTTACCACAACAACTTTGGGAGGTTCCAGCATTTCATGTACTGTTTACTAATTTGGAGCCATCCTGTCCAGATAAAAATCATGTTACTAAGCTTTAATTTCTGGAAATGCCATGGATGAACTCCATCTAGATTACGTGCAAGTTTCTCAAAAGCTACCTGCCTGAAAATTGACTGAGGAAGTAAATGGTGAGCACTTATTTAAAAAATTAAGCCAACATACACTTAGTGCAGCTATGTGTCCACAAACAGGCTAATAAAACTACAGCTTAATAACTTTTGTGGACTTTGATTACAGGGTTGAGGTAACATTTGAAGAAAATCTTTCAGAATAGATTTTTTTTCAATGCTATGCATGTATATTCCACATGGGGTAGTCCTTCACGATTGAACTTCAATGGAACTGAAAATACATCTGAGATCTACAGAGTAAGTGTGGCAATCTTGAGCTCCAAATATGTTGAGGGTTGTTTTTCCTCTATTCTTCAAAGGGTAGGAAAATCTTTGGTATAAATAGAATTTGAAAATGCCTCTTTCTTTTCTTTCTTATTTTTGAATGACAGTAGCTAAGAAGATCAATGGATGGACTATTTTGCAGACTGTCATCTTTACCATCTTGCCAGTTTCTTCTGCCTCTTCCATTGAGAGCAAAGAAAGAGGTCATCAACCACTAGGGACTAGGAAAGACACTTACCTTTCCAACAAATCCCAGATTATATAATATAGTTTGCCTTTTCAATAGTGGGCCTCCTTAAAAGGCAACCTTAGCTGACTAAATTATAAATGTATTTTATTCCTTACATTGCTTAATGGGAAAGTTTCTACAAAGACTGTGGTTTGCAGGCAGAAGCCTACTTGAACTTTAAATACAATGGAACACTTCTCGGTTGTGTCCCCGCCTCTGGAACACCCTACCCAGGGAAATAAGACAGGTCCCATCCCTCTCCTCTTTTCATAAGAGGTTGAAGTCTTGGTGGTTTCATCAGGCCTTCGAGAATGATTAGCATGAGCTCCAGTTCCCTGACCACGTTAGAATCTGGCCCTTTACCCCTACCTATTACCCTGGTCAGTCCCTCAGTTGGCTCAGGAAATGAGCATCTACAGGCCCCATTGCTACTACTGTTGAGTCTGGTTACTGCACTTTACCCATTTTCTTGGCCCCCTATTGCTTACTTTGCACTACCTGTCCCTGCCATCCCAAACTGTCTATGTCCTTTCTGAAAATCTGGCCCTAATAGTTAATCCTAGCAAGAAGAATAAGGTTGATTGGTTTTATTGTACAAGTGTTGTTTAACTATTTTATGCTTATGTATAGTTTGGTGTTTTTACAATTTGAAAACTGCCTTGAGTCCCCCAGGAGAGATAGAGTGGTATATAAATAAAGTTTTTTAAAAATTATTATTATTATTTGCATAATAAAAAAAAATCAAAATACAGATAAAGGATGAGAGTACTCTTACCTATACCAACATGGGCTTCCTGTATCATGCTTACATCATTAGCCCCATCACCAATAGCTAGTGTGATAGGCTTCTCTGGAGATGTTTTTAATAGTCGTACAACCTGTAAAGGAAAAACAGGATTTTTCTTCTAAGTCAAACACTCTCTTGTTATGATGCATCTCCGAAAGCTTCTCCAATGTATGGTGACTATCTTATTGAGTTCCTGAAATATTTATTCAGTGGAGGAGTGCCACTGCCTTTTTCTAAAGCTGAGTAACTGTGATTTGCCCAAATGGCATTCTGAGAAAGGTATTAGACTTACCTCCAATAATATCAGATCAAATTCCCTGAAAAATTACTTCTCTACCATTTCTGCACTATAGAGGAATACAAGTCATACTAAACTAAAGCACGTTCAGATCATCCCGAGGATAGAAGGACAGGGCCTTCTTGGTGGTGGCCCCCCACCTGTGGAATTCACTCCCCAGGGAAATTAGATCATCGTCATCCCTCCTCTCTCTTAGAAGGAAATTAAAAACATGGATATGGGACCAGGCCTTGGGGTAATCTGGCAGACTGACAAGGACAACGACGATGAGAGCTTTGGAACGGATTATGATAAGCTGAATGGACTCATTAATTACAGAACTTGGTGAAACGATGGCCACCAGGCTGGCTTCTTTTTTATTAGATTTTATTGTATTAACTTAATGTTATAATTATTTATAATGATGTTGTGTATTTTACTGTGTTTAATTGTAGGCATCAAATATGTGCCAGCTGGAAGCCGCCCTGAGTCCCCCTAGCGGGTTAAGAAGGGCAGGGTAAAAAACCTGAAATAAATAAATAAATAAATAAATAAATAAATAAATAAATAAATAAATAAATAAAAGAGAACCAAAAGTGCAACTAGGAATTTAGTGTGCAACAGTGAACATATCTGGGGGATACACAGTCAGCAGAACAATCAGCACTTAAAATGCTCCCCACAAGCAGAAGCAGGAAAAGCCACTATGAGATATCTGGACAGTCAAATGCTCACTAACACCCAAACTTCAAAAAGGCTTGAGCAAATTACCTTTGCTTTTTGCAGAGGTGCCATGCGACAACACAGCACTGCAGAGCAATTTCTACAGACTTCCATGAAGAGCTTCTCATGTTGCCTGAGTGCCAGCGAAAGGCTGGTCCCATCCACTACTAACCCGTGCTGGATGACGTGGTCCTCCTTTATTCTAATAAGAGAAAGGAAAACTTTAAGTGTTGACAAACAAATTCTTTTTGTTTTCTGCAAAGGCTCCTTGGGACTCATCAAGAGCAACTGCACATAATAGGAAGCTGGAGAACTGGTCTTCCCCGTCCCCTCAGCAACAGGCTTCATAGCATCAAGTGAGGATTCTGGTTATAAGGGAAAGAAGATCTGAAGTGACTGGTTTATTATTAGGCGGGAAAGTTCTGCATAAAGAGCCATTAACCTTATTCATTCAGACATGGACAGCATTTTACCTCCTGGCTAGCTGTGTCAGCTGCTCAGCACATGTACTGTCCGACTTGTGCTGAACCAGTTCTAGGATGTTCATGGTCCTGTGGAAGTGTCCGCAGGACAGACTGACGCTCACAGCCGTTTCATGCTTGTCACCAGTGAGGACCCACACTTTGATACCAGCCAGTCGAAGGGCTTCAATGGTTTCCTGGACTTTATCTTGGAGTCTAAAAACATATAAACAACACTCAATATTTTTAAAACACATAATCTGACTCCCTCTCTTGACCTCTGTCTGTCTGTCTTCCTTTTTTCTCTTTCTTGCTTGCTTGCTTTCTTTTTCTCTCTCCCTCCCTCTCCCCCTCTCTCTTCCTTCCTCCCCTCCCCTCTTAGTTAATTCTGGCCTTGATAGTTAGGGAGAAAGCTGAGAAGCTCTCTCCCTCAATCACTATGTCTGTATTTTACAGCTGTTCTAGCTGAACAAGTTTCACTATGTTCTAAACAAATACTTTCTCCAAATGAAGATGCATATAAGGCTTTCTGCATATTCAGAAGGAATTGAATTTCCTCAAGCAATAAGTAAAGGTAAAGGTTTTCCCGTGACATTAAGTCTAGTTGTGTCTAACTCTGGGGGGGTGATGGTGCTCATCTGCATTTCTGAAACAAAGAGCCGCCATTGTCCGTAGACACCTCCAACACGACAGCATGGCCAACATGACAGCATGGAGTGCCATTACCTTCCTGCAGAAGCAGTACCTATTGATCTATTCACATTTGCATGTTTTCAAACTGCTAGGTTGGCAGAAGTTGGACCAAACAGTGGGAACTCACCCCACTCCTCGGATTCAAACAGCCAACCTTTCGATCAGCAAGGTCAGCAGCTCAGCAGTTTAACCTGCTGTGCTACTAGGGGGCTTCAACCAATCGTTATACCTGTTTCTCAATATTTGTATGAAATATCATTGCCATAAGACCTCCCCCGCCCTCGACAAATGTATGAGTTGTATATGCTCTTTTAAGTCAATGTTATGTGTTCTATCTGGTTCATATGTTGTAGTTTAATATCTTATTGTTCACCACCTCAATCCATGGGGAGAAGCAGAAAATAAAATATCAATAACACTAGCAGCCTGATGAATTATGATGGAGTGAGAGCTAGCTGACCCCAGGTTTAACTTGGGAGAATCAGCCACATTTAAATCATTTCCCAAATTCCTATGATATGGGTATAATTTTGTATAATAAACACATTATACAGTTAGCAGGACCCCTCTTCTCAATTAATTAATTAATGCAGGTTGTACATACTTGTCTTCTACCCCTGTAGCTCCCAGTATTGCCAGGTCTTTTTCTATAAAGTCATAAACTTCAGCCAACCGTTCTTCTCTCTGCTGTAAGGCGGTTTTTGCCTCAAAAAGGCGTTTTTCTACTTCTTGATATTCCTTGGGTGTGAATTTTCTGTAAGCTACACACAGAGTCCTTAATCCTTTCTGTGGAGAAAATAAAAACAGACTTAATTCATAGACAGGACATTGGCAATTGAGTCTATTTGCTGATAAAGTGCACCACGTACTTTAGTAAAAGGTTACATTAAATCTCTTCTATAACATTCAAAGATCAGGGGACACTTTGGTATTTCATCTGTTTTTCTGCCCTGGTGAAAGAGGATGGGGAGATAGGGAGAGAAGAGAGCAGGGAGGAAAGCCAAAAAAGGGGACTTGCGGGCTGAGTTTGGTCTTCATAGATTAGACAGCTGGACATTACCAATTTGCAAGATCTAGTAAGATGTCAATAAAAGGCAGGTAAATTATCATTTTAGGAATGTGTGGTTGTGTCTTAGGAAAATTTCTTCTAGGCGTTATGTAGTTGCTTAGATTTTGCTTCTAAGAAATCCAGAGAATTAAAGGTTTCAACATCTGAAACAAATTCTGAATTCTGCAGGTGTTCTACAAATGACTCATAGTTAAGAATGGGAGTGAGACAACAGGAAGTGAGAGGAATCTATCCCTTGGAAGGGAAATTCACCCCTGAAAGAGTTATAGTGGGGAAAAGATTATTGAAGCCTTATGGCCAATCCTTGTTTCTACAATAAGCCAAATTTTTCAAAATCCAATTATCACAGGTACAGAAACACCACAGGGGTGTTAACCCTTCACTGTGCTATCCAAAGCTTGTATCTATATATGGTTGTGTGTGTGTGTGTTCGGCTGGAATTACACTTAACAAATGTACCTGTTCCGACGTACATACAAATTGAACTTAAGAACAACCTAAAAAACCAATCTTGGTCGTAACTTGAGGACTGCCTATATATAGGGGTGTGTTATATATATATATATGTATGTGTGTGTGTGTGTGTGTGTATCTATCTATCTATCTATCTATCTATCTATCTATCTATCTATCTATCTATCTATCTTAGCTAGTAATCTTCAAAATCACACCTGGCTCTGTTTCCATCATCTTTTTTTAGTTTTGTAAAAACGGGAAGAGAATGAAGAAACCACCAAACCACCAGCCATTATGGAGATGGAGCAGGAAAATGCTGACTGTAATAATTCCCATATACATGGGAAGATAATTTAGAAGTCAGATATGCTGGACTGGCAGTCAAGCCAATATTAACAAATTTTGTCTTAGATTGGTAAACTGGGGTCTCCTGGCATCTATTCATAGAATGCATTTTGTTCCACTTATTGGCTGGCACGTCACATGTAACAAAAACAGCAGACAAGGCAGTCCATGGACAAAACTGGACAAAACCTGTTTAAAGAAACCAAAACTGATTCCCTGAAAAAAGATAAATTAATGGTAACCTGCAGATCCTGGCCACAAAGGAGCATTAAGTATCAGGGTTGTTTTCACTTCATCATTTATTTTATTATTATTTATCTCAAAATGAAATTAATTATTGTATTGTCGAAGGCTTTCATGGCTGGAATCACTCAGTTCTTGTGGGTTTTTTCGGGCTATATGGCCATGTTCTAGAGGCATTTCTCCTGACGTTTCGCCTGCATCTATGGCAAGCATCCTCAGAGGTGAGGTCTGCTGGAAATGGGAAAAAGGGGTTTATATATCTGTGGAATGACCAGGGTGAGACAAAGGGGCTTTTGTAAGTTGGGCTGGGTGTGAATCTTTCTACTGACCACCTTGATTAGCATACAATGGGCTGACTGTGCCTGGAGCAAACTCTTCTTGAAAGGTGATTAGATGTCCCTGCCTGTTTTTCTCCCTGCTGTTTTGCTGTTGCAATTTTAGATTTTTTTAATACTGGTAGCCAGATTTTGTTCATTTTCATGGTTTCTTCCTTTCTGTTGAAATTGTCCACATGTTCCATTTCACAAGTCTACTTAGGGACCACCAAACGCAGCGCCCAAACAAGAATCCAGGAACATGAAAGGCACTGCAGACTACTCCAACCAGAGAAATCAGCCATAGCAGAGCACCTGATGAACCAACCTGGACACAGCATTTTATTTGAGAACACAAAAATGCTGGACCACTCTCACAACCACCATGTCAGACTACACAGAGAAGTCATTGAAATCCACAAACATGTGGACAATTTCAACAGAAAGGAAGAAACCATGAAAATGAACAAAATCTGGCTACCAGTATTAAGTCTTATGCTCATGGCAGCTCAAAAACCAGGAAATAGGACCCCAAATATTGATACACTGAACCCAGTCAGTAAATTGAAAGAGTACTTGGGCCATCTAGGCCATATCAAGCAAATGGATGACCACCCAGTCTTGCCTGTTTTCCCAACTTAAAGCAGTATGACCACATCTTTTCACAAACCTGAAGATTTTCAAAAGAGGCAGATCTTGCACACATTAAACCAGTGGTTCTCAACCTGTGGGTCCCCAGACGTTTTGGCCTTCAACTCCCAGATAGCCTAACAGATGGTAAACTGACTGGGATTTCTGGGAGTTGTAGATTTCTGGGAGATTTCAGCGTGGGGACTCACACGTTGAGAACCACTGCATTAAACCATTCCAACCTACCAGCAAATTTGAAATCAACACTCACATACCAAAGCAAATTCATCCACATGAATTCTTGTTTTTTCGATTTCGCCATCGCTACTGCGAGGAATAACAACAGATTCTGCTCCTTTGGTGAATAAGAATTTGCCCCCTATAAAACAATAATTTAAAAGAAAAAGGGATCTGCAGTAAATCCACAATTAATAACAAGCTTTTCAGCAGTCAGCAATGAACTATTAAATATAATTCTTCAGGAGTCTGCTTTTTAAAAAAGTCAGCTTACCTGTCGGACTTTCTACAATTACACTCATTCTTCTGCGATCCGCATCAAACTCCAGAACATGTAGCAATTTGTACCTTTAAAGAGGGGAAAGAGAGTCATATTCCTTGTATGTGCTGGATAAATGGAAATTCACTGTTTTAAGTGTTCTGATACTTGAATGGTTTGTTGAATTGTAGAACCTCCTTCCACTGGGGAGTTATTTAACGGGTATGCTAATTTCTTCACTGTGTCTTAAGTTTTTAAATAATAACTAGGTTCAACAAATAAGGGAGTTTATATGTTTACGGCATATAAACTGTGTCAGCATCTCAAATAGCTCATATCCATGAAAGGAATGACATTATTTATGTATGTATTTATTTAGAGCATTTATATTCTGCCCTTCTCACCCCAAAGGGGACTTGGAGCGGATTACAGAACACATACACGGCAAACATTCAATGCTGTTAAACAGACAGGACAGGCAACAGATAGAGGTATTATGTTGGCATTTTTCCAAACTTCGGTATCCTGGAGGTTGTGCTCAATTCCAGCCACAGGGGGTGCTGTCGCTCCATTCTTTATGACAAAGAGCCCTTGATCACAGACTTCCTCCTTCCTTTGATTGCTTGCATTTTCTGGTATTTCCTTTATTTAATGGTGCTGTAAAACAACACTGCTAAAGCCCTCTTTGAGTGACTTAGTTGTAGCCCAAGAATTTTTCACTAAATATTAACAAATCGAAACATAACCAAGGTTCTCATGACAATGTACTAAACATTAAATGACATATGATTGCCAAAGGTGAGTTCCTGCATGGTACCTTCTGATACTATAAATCTATATTTGAAATTATTCGCTATATTTTACATGTTACTTTTTTGGCAGTCTATATTTTTCTGATATAATAATTGGTTTATGCTGGCATGTGTTTTGTGGCTGTAAAATCAGTTTGTTTTGATTGTATTCTATGTCACAACTAGTCAGCTGGGGTCTTCTAGCCTTTACTGTGGGAATATTAACAGAAATAAATATGCATAGGAAATAATAAGCTTTTATTTTTACCTTTCTGGCTTCCCACAGCTTTTTAGCTCCATACTGTCTGAACTTGCTCCAGTGAGCACAACGCCTACCCTAAAAATTTGAAAGAAGAGTCAGTTAACAACTTTAAAATATGCCTTCCTAGGGGAGGTTCATTATTTTTTGAAAAATTAAAGAATTTTGTACATGGAAGTAGTGCCTTCAGAAAATGAGCATATCTCTAAGAACAGAGATAAAACAAAATGAATACACATATTTTTCTTAATGAATAATTATCTCAAATGCTAACTATAAAAACAATGAATTCTGTACATAAAAATTTGTTTTTAAAATGAACAAACTTTAAGACACTAACATTTGTTGTTGTTTTATTTGTCTTTGTAGAGCTCTCTCACTTGCATCAAACTGTACTGACAAATTCCCCAGAATGGGTACATTTCTCCTTGTACTCTTTAGAATAAAGTGTGTTAAGGTAAGTATCAACTACTGATCCTTCATGCTTGATTTTTCCAATAAAAGTTGCAAAATTGAATATTCTCACTAAGGATTCCAGCCAACTGCATCCACTTACAGGATATTCCATTATTTTGCCCTTCTTCCCACTATATCATGACTCACTTGTTTTCTGTATACTCAGCACAGCACAAATGTAAATCTGCAGCACAGCACAAATGTAAATCTCTGTTCTGACTGAATCTGAGTGTATTGCCCTGTCTAAAGATCTTTTCTTCCTTCTCTTTTTTTTTTGGGGGGGGGTGAGGAAGGAGGAACCCCACAAAAGCTGAGACTCCTCTGAACTTGCGAATACTTCCCTTTTACATATTATTTGGCTAAACTTCTGTTGGCATTCACCAGATGAATTAGTCATTGCATGGAGTTAATACTGCAGTGCTCTAAAAGAAGGTTGTGAGATAACAGGAGCAATGTATTAACCATACATCACTATGCATCGGAGCAACAATGAATTCTTCTCACTGCCTGCTAGTAAACCAGTCCATTAGCCTTGCAAATATTAACTGGGCTGCAGGACCTTTACAGGTTTAAACAGAAAATACAGAATGTATTCCTCCCTCACCTCCCAGCTATCCCATACTTCTAGAAACTCCATCTCCAAACTTGATGCAAGACAGGCTCATCTAGTGCTCCTATTTCTGTTCCTAGAAAGATGCAGAGAATCCGAGTTTCTAATCCTCACCTGCAGGCAGCTTCAACTAAAGCCTTTTCATCTGGCGAAGAGGCATAGTACTCCAGCTGAGATGATATGCCATTGCTACGCCAAGGACTGTCGCATATGCCATCAGCCTGGTCATTAATAATCTGCACTGTATGACAAAGACAAACAGCTTTCAAGAAAAGTTCTTCCTCTCGTGTCTGTTTAAAGAAAATTAAAGACAAAACACTTAATTAAAAATGATAAACTTAATTTGGCATGCAGTGTTTTTTTTTCCACTAACAAAGTAAATCACTAAAAATATATAGTTATGCTCTTCTGTAGAATTTAAGACCATAGGTCAAAACAAACAAATAATGCACAAATACAAAAATCCTTTTTCTATCAAAAGTCATAAAGTATGGCCTAAATATAACTGCTGGTCCCAGCTAGACAATGCTTTATTCAAGTAATAAAAATCTGAGAAGAAATGAAGTGGCATTAATAGCAAGGAGTGAAAAAGCAAAAGGAGTTAGGGTATAACATCCAAAGTGTTTTTGAATAATATCAATATGATTTCAGGGAAAACCTAACAATACAGCCTTAATTCAAATTTATAACCCAACAAAGACAATTCTTTACTGGCATTCAGGAAACTGATTGCATATCAAAACACGACATGTTAATAATTACAGGCAAAGGGAATGCAAGGGCAGGTTAGAAAGCAGAACCAAACACTGTTGAAGAGTTTGCAACCAAAGAGAAGACTATATATGGACATCACCTGATGGCCAACACAGCTATCAAATAGATAAAACAATTGGAAGCAAAGATGAAGCAGCTCCATTTTCCTTACAAAAACAAGACCAAGAGTAGATTGTGGCAGATTTGCTAGTATGATTGATTGCTAAAACATGAACAGTCCTAGAGCAAATCAAGCCAGAACTATCCCTAGAAACCAGAATGACCAAACTGAGACTACTATACTTTGTTCATATCACATGAGATATGGAGCATTATTTGATAAAATAAGAGCAAGAAAGAAAAGAGGGAGAGCACTAAATGCAATGTAATGCAAACTGAGTAGGGATTAATACCCACTGAAGCAAATCAGAATAATTAAGGGCACTGGTAGACAAGAGTTTGCACAACTGAGTCCAATGAACCCTTGTATGAAATGATGCAGTCCTCCACTGAATGCTTACCTTTGAATTTAATAGGACTTACTTCCTACTGAACTTATATGTAATCTTAAAGCTAGCCAAATGAACACAACAAACTCATTCTCAAGAGAGCCTTACCATCTATACCTGAGGTATTTTCTCAATAACCAATTGGATTCTATGAGTTCTTCTGAAATAAGTCAAATTACATAAACAGAAGAGTATGCAAGGGTCTACATTAGAGGCAGGAAGCACGTGGCATTTCAGATTCTGTTGGCCAACAACTGCCACTTGTGCCAGGAGGCTTAAGGTAATGGTGAGAATTATGGGAGTTGTGGTCCACCTACATATGGAAGGCTGCAAAATGCCCAAACCTACTCTAAATGATTTTTAATTTTAAATAATCATACCAGGTTGGGTCGTAGTCCATCTGGAACATCTTCAATCAGTCCTTCTGGAACAAGCTTGCCATTGATTTCTTGGTATTTGATACCATTAATGGAGCATTCCCGAAACTGCATCACATTTTCAGTTAATGTACCAGTTTTATCTGTAAACACATACTCCACCTAGGGAAGGTTGAAAAGTGGTGTGAGCCAAACAGGTTTAAGAACAGTAAACCTAAGAATGCTCCTCCCCACCACTGGATGCAAGACCCAAGGCTGAGATAAAATAATGTTCAGTGAAACACCTGAGGACAAAGCCAGAATGTTACATTCAATGCCTCATGTATTAAATTGGGCAGATTTATTCCTTGACTTAACTCATAGACATGCACCAATGTAAGTCAAAGGCCAAGAAAATGAGACCCAGCACTTCACGTTTATTATGAAAAATAAACATCTGTATGCTATTCACATTGATTATATATGGACTAACAGAACTGTTTGTACTGAGTCAGACCATTGGCCCATCCAACACAGTCCTGTCCACTCAACTGACAGCATTCTTCAATCCAAGGGCCCTTCCTTCCACACAGCCCTATATCCCAGAATATCAGTCAGAAAATCCCACAACATCTGCTTTGAAATGTGTTATCTGAATCCACACTCAGATAATGTGGGTTTTTTTGCCTTGATATTCTGGGATATAGGGCTATGTGGAAGGGCCCCTAGTCTTTTGTCACAATTTTCCCCAGCATTGCTAGCTAAACAGGTGCTTTAACTTGAGGTACTAAGGACCTTTTATACCAGTGGTGTCCAATCTTTGGTACTCTGGGTGTTTGGGACTCCAATTCCCAAAAGCCCTGGCTAGTTTATCCAATGATCAGGAATTCTGGGAGCTGAAGTCCAAAACATCTGGAGGACCAAAGGTAGGACACAACTGTACACACAGTACAAACATTTGCTGAGCTGTACATTTCTTTATCAGTTAAGTTCATAAAGCTTGTTCCATCTCTGCATTTCACACAGAGGATCAAGTTTTTGTTCAAAATCCAACCGAGGCCTCCTTTCTTTCAAAGACCTCAAGACATTTTCAAAACTTAGGAGATTAAAAAAATGCTTTTATTGCCATAGTTTAATAAAATATACTTTGAATGTTGAACATTGCAGTCAGAACAAAAATCTCAAATGTGCTTTTTCGAAATATGCATCATCTTGGCCATAGGTCTGAACTCAGATTATGCAGGCAATAAATGCCACACAGCATCTGACTCAACTGTCATTATAAACTACTTCCAATACACATTTTGTTCAATTGAAACAAATATGTATGTTTTGGTCTCCCAATAATCTCAAGTGCAAAATACAGTCCTTACTTCTATTTCATAACTACCCCATTAAGTAGATCAGTTTGAGAGACTTGTGACTATCTTATCATCCCCACTGACAGTGTGAATATGTTTTGAATATGTGTTTTTCCTGCCCTATTTCTAATTACAATACTGGGCTCAGTCTGAAAATGAGCATGTTCACAGAAGCACTGATGAAAATAAATGTAATATTAGTGAAAGTTACAACTAATTTTTTTTATCTAATCATTTTTCAAAGTACATAACCATTTGATACCTGTCCCAGCTCCTCATTGAGGTCTGAAGTATTTACTTGTGCCTTCTCATTTGTTTCTTCATGATAGAGATCAAGATCCCAATTAATAAAAAAAGATCCAAGAAATTTCTGCATCTCGACAGTCACATAAAGTGAAATAGGTATAATAAAGTTGTAAAGGACCAGGAAGGCAAGGAAATCTGAAATAAAGCTCAAGATCTGAGAGAGGGAAAAAGATATTATGAATCTAAGAATTAAATACACACTTTTAAAAATACATAATAACTGATGTTTAAAAATAACCATATACATTGTGAACACAATCAGCAGTTGTGATGCCTTCTTTTGCATTAGTTAACAATGCCCTCTGATACATAACACTCTTATAAACTGGTTAAAAACTCTGCCTCCTTCAAAAGGCCAATAAATGAGGTTAAAACTGGAATAAATGTTTTACTTCTACAACACATGCTCCATTTTTATTTGCTTGTATAGTATATGCCACATTTTGATCCTATACATTCTCCAGCAACTTCAGGATGACCATTTTTTACAGATGAAGTCATTGTTCATCATCCCATTAAACCCCCTGTGCCGGCAGGACTGCTGACCAAAAGGTTGGCAGTTTGAATCCAAGGAGCAGGGTGAGCTCCTGCCTGTCAGCTTCAGCTTCTCATGTGGGGACATGAGAGAAGCCTCTCAAAAGATGGTAAAATGTCATTGCAGATGGTCAATTCTCACACCAGAAGCAACTTACAGTTTCTCAAGTCGCTCCTGACCCCCCCCCCCCCAAAAAAAAATTCCTACTGCTGCCAGGTACTTTGGGAATGATTTTCTATTAGAACCTAGACAGATAGCAAAATGAATCTGTAGACATAGATAGTAATTACATAGTTTGGCACCAAAGAAACGATTAGTCTAATGACGCATGATTACCTGTAGCAGTGGTTCTCAACCTGTG